CATCTCGCTCTTCCGCCGATGCTAACTTCATTGACCGGACATGGCTTCCGGCTTAACTGCTCGCCTAATTATAAAAATTAAATTGATCGAAAACAAACTGCAAAGCCAAATAAAAGTAAAAGAATCAACATTGAACTACGTCAAAATGAAAATAAGGGAGCACGAATTTCGATGTGAAGCAAAACTCTCTGGGAAGACAATACCTGTAATTATTGTACCATGTCTCATTAAAAACAACAATTTTTTGTTATGTTCAAACTGAAACAAAGCAACATGGTTGTGAATATATATATATCGTTTCTATTAATGCTAAATCAAAAAATTTGCGCTCAGCTGCTGCGGAACTGTGAGGCAGACTAAAAATGTTATGAACTAAATCACACAATTCTCCAAAGGCCGCTTCACCCAAAGCCATTTTTAATCAAACCCACTTGATCCCAAAAACGTTCTATATTGGTACAGTTTTTGAAGTTATCTTCACTCAGCCTCATTTTGCGAAATTGAAATTCAATTATTTCTGCATCATTTACCAATGCAGGAAATTGGTCGAGTAGGGCCAAAATTTATACATCAGTATCAGAAAGAAGACTGACTTCCAAAACGTACCAATGCAATGTTTGGATACTGTTCTATTGCGGTATTCAAACTGTTTGTATATACACCATTTCGGAATTTTCCATTTTTAAAACACAAATGGTAACCAAAACCAAACGAACATTTGGAACATTAAACTTTGTGCGTATGCAATGCAATTGACGTTTTGGAAGTCAGCCGAACTTTATGTGGTGTAATAATTTCAAGATAATTAATATCTTTTCGATTGAAATCGCATATTATTTTCATGTGCTAAATGCTATGATTAAAGTTTTGCTACCTTTAAAACGCGAAACTATTGCATGAAGTGAAAGGGTGATAATAACCTAACCAAAGGCTTGTGAAATTAACCATTTTAAAAAGAATTGGACCAATGGACCAAACGAAAAGAAATTGACCAATTTTAATCGATTCGGATCAAAACGGCAACCGTGCTGATCACCCAAGTATTATGGGGCCATTTTACTTCAAAGTGGATTGAAATACCATTTTAACTAAAATGTTTTTTTTTTTGTTTTTGCATTTTAGGAATTCATTATGAATTCAACCCTCTATTATTTTTATATGTACATACATATATATATATCAAAATTATAATAACAATTTATTCTAGGAATTAAAGGATTTAGCGAATCGAAATCCATCTATACACATTTTGGAGATTGGTAATACTTAATTACATTTAATTACATATTTGAGGACTTTTGATTTGACAATTTCCTTTCTATCAACTAACGTAAAATATTTAATATATATGTATATACATACATACATATATCTTTTGTGAAAATATTACTAACTTTTTTTTAACCCCAAGGCAAGATTTAAATAAAACGAAAATTTTATAGGGCTGTGATATTTTTAAATTGTTGATGTTGTAATCTGAAGGTATCTTCAGGATCTTTTGTCTATGATTGAATTTTATGATATATGTACATAAAGCTTATTAACAAAGTATATCAGAGGAATTAATTAAAAGTCCGCGGATATGTTAATTTATTACACACAAGTTTAAACATTTTGTATGTATGAGCTTATTTTTCAGACTTGAATAACTTTGAAAGCTATGCAAATTTGGTAAGTCGTATCGGTGAAGTTGTTAAGGAAAAAGGACTTAATGTACTGTTCAACAATGCTGGCGTTGCTCCCAAATCTACTCGGATAACCACAATAAAACTAGAGGATCTGATGCAGACTTTACAAACCAATACTGTTGTGCCTATAATGTTGTCGAAGGTATGTAGATACTAATGGTGTATTTACATGGTATGAATCTGTTCATAAGCCGTATGAATTTTCCTATAAAAGAAGCACCAACTCTATGAAGAAATGAATGAAAGCGATATATATTTAACAATTTTGACTTATATACTTGGCAATGTTTTTTTTTGTAAACAACAAATAAAAAAATTTTATTTTGTGCTAGCTTCGAAACTAGAAGCTTATTTTTTTGTTAAATGTGCTTTAAAAAGGACCTACTGCCAATAAAGCCTTGTGGATTGCTATTTTTTCATATTTGTAATGCTTCCATTCAAACATCTTTATGGAAAAACAGTTTTTTGTTCAGAATTGCTTGTTTTTGAAACGCTTGGCATAAGTTGAAATCATAGGGATGCCGTTTTCTTCCGTTTCTCAGTGGATTTTATACTTGAAAAGGCACCAAAATATGTATGCAATACTTCTATATATCGTCGTTTAAAGTACAAAACCGCGCTTCAAGAAAATGCAAAACCTCGTATGTGGGGTTGGCTAAATTTTATAGGAGAGAGTCCTAATTAAAAACGGTTCTCTCTTTTAAACTTAATTATCTTATCTTATTATCCTCCAATATGCGGCGTGCGTGATTTTGTCACACAAAGTAAAGGACAGTTTTACGCCGACTCCGAACGGCAAAATTGTATTTTAATGAGAAGCTGTTTCCATGACAGAATACACTCGGAGGTTTACTATTACCAACAGAGGGGCAAGCACCATTAGAAAAACTGGGCTTGAACTCAGGCTCTGAAAAACTATGTTTATTCATAAAAAACTACATTTTTGGAAGCATTTTCAAATCGGTACAGCTCACGTAAATCTTAATAATGGTGGCAGTTTTCAAATGTAATAAATTTAGTATTCCCGGCGGAAAAACCGCAACTTTTTTGATGATGCAGTCTAATGTACATACATACATATGTACATATGGCATGTATCATGAGGCGTATTTTCACTATTTGGCTTTTAGTAACTTTAACGAAAGCTTAACTTATTTTATTTTATTAATTTTAGCGCAGTTTTTACAAAATTTTCTTGCAAAACAATCTTTTGTTACTCTACTTTTTTTATTCTTTTGATTGTACATGTTAAATAACAGCTTGTTAAAAAAAAATATAATTTTTTTACATTATTTTATTTTGAACTTTTTAGTTTTATTTTATATAATCAGGCCATGATATTTTTATTAAATGCTGACCCTCCATTTATGAGCATAGTACATTTAATATAAGCTGCGTAAATCTTTTCGATCATCTGTTTAGGTTCATTTTTAAACATACACATGTGTATCTATGAATTTACGTAATGTTAATTACTATTTAATTACACCAAGGCTTGCCTTCCTCTACTAAAACAAGCGGCGGCGGCGGCGACAAATGGAGAGCAGGAAATGGGTGTCAAACGGGCTGCTATTATCAATATGAGTTCCATTCTTGGCTCGATCGAGGCTAACACAGACGGTGCCATGTACGCATATCGTACTTCGAAGGTTTTATTAAAACGCAATATCTATTTACATATTTCAATTTTATAATTTACAATTATTTTGTCTTTTTTAAATAGGCGGCTTTGAATGCTGCGACCAAGTCAATGAGCATAGATCTTTTCCAAAACAAAATTCTTTGCGTATGTTTACATCCTGGATGGGTACGTACTGATATGGGCGGATCCAATGCACCTCTCGACGTGGATACAAGCTCAAGCAAAATAATCGAAACGCTGTTCAAATTTAATGGTTCAAATAATGGTGGATTTTATCAATATGATGGAAAAAAATTGCCTTGGTAGAAGCTGTGTTCGTTAAATTTTTAATTGTTGGAATTGTTGATGAAATATATTTTTGTTGAAAAAAATCTACACACATATATTTATGTACATAAATACAATATATACATATATGTATGCACTAGGGCTGTGCGATTAATTGATTATTCAAAATTTTAATTAATCATAAAGTAAATAACTCAATTATTCGATTAATTGGAAATTGAAATTTTTTTCATACAAAGTAAGTATGTTCGACCTTTTTTTTGAAAGAGAAGCAAATGAGCAGCACTTTCCAATCGCACTTTGCTATATTCAATTTTAGTGAGTTACAAAACTGCAAACCATTTTTTTTCTAAAGATTATAATTTAAGAGTTTGAAATTTTGCGAAACATTGCAGAATTAATTTTATAGTTTTTTGCACAAGGTTGGAAATTTGGTATTATATGGGGTTTGTTATGAAAAGAGATTTACTTTCATAATAAACGAACGAAAAATGACACTGAAGTTGGCATAACGCCGAAACCGGTTTGTCTCCAAACCAAAATTGACAAGGGATGACGGAAATTCGTTTCAAAATACATCATACCCTGTTGGAAACATAAAATAGGCAAGCCATTATAATGAGCTGTTAAGGCGTCGGAACATCGAATACGGGACATTAAAAAAAATACAGAACATTTGGCGTCCCGTATAAGATAAATAAATTACCAGGACAATGGGTCAAAAAAGAGGACTGTCCCGTATAATACATGACGGATGGTCACCGTATTTATACTATGTAAGGCAGGCTATGCCCTTTCATTTGGTATGTCATTTTGTTATCCAACAAACGGTGAATATCTTATAATTTTAAGCGGCTTTAAAGAGGCTAAGTCTGAAAAGACCTTGACAGGGACGGTGCAGAATTGATACCTTCGTTTATTAAGATTGAAAATAGTAATTTTTTTAACAGTTGGAAACCCTACTCAAAAAATAAAATATTAATGCTTATCTAGAGGTCAATGCGTTTCATTTGGCACATAATTTTTTGTAATCCTACGAACAGGTGGCAACCCTATAGAACTTCTAAATACCAAAGGTCACTCTCCTGTAGATACAGCATATATTATAGAAAATCTCGTCCAAATCCGTTCGGTAGATTTCAAGATTCCCCTCTATACTACATAAATACATATGTACCCAGTGGGAAAATGTAATGTATAGTAATCGAAAAAATAATCAGTAAACGGTAGTTTCACATTCGAAAATGGGGCGATGTCCTAAGAAAAGAGGGGCATTCAATTTTGCATTACCTAGTATCGAGAAATGAATGCGTTTTAATGTGAAATTTTTGGAACTTTTTACATTACAATGCTGATTACATAGTTAGCAGTAATATTATCGAGAACGCATAAGAAATACATTATATTATTTATCACGCATGTAATGCATTACTACTTTTCCGACTGGGTACATATGTATGTATAGATATGACCAGAAAGGAGGGTTACTCATACGCCGTGTATCGTAAATGTTGATAGACGAACACACGTTCTCTTGAAAATTTAACAACAATTTACAATAAGCGCAAAATATTCGCCGATTTTTTTTTTATGTAGATATCTTTGGCTATAGAACAGTTCGCTACATTTTTTTAAGCAGCGGTGGCTAGCAGTGTGGATAATCGGAATAGTGTACTTTACTTAAATATGTAATTTTTATAATTTAAATGCGTTTTAAAACCAAAAATAGTTATCAACATACTTTGTTAGAGTACTTTTTCTAAAGCAGGGATCACACAATTCGTAAATTTGTAAAGATGTGTTCATTGAACTCATTATTTCTAACCAACAATACTCGGTGACTGCCAAAATGTACAAATCGTGTGAGCCCTGCTTAAGGCTTGTTGATAATTGAAACAAATTCAAGAGCTAGAATTGTAGTATAAGAATTTAGTAATAAATTGATACGCTTTTTCAGATTTTATGGATTCTGAATTTGTTATGAACACAACAAAATGTCTTACATGTCATAGTATTTTGTTTTTGCGTACTTCAAGGTATCTAGATTAAATAAGTTTATTGTTTTAAGCTTTTAAATAACATTGGTTTTTCAGTCTTCTGGGCAATGAGCCTCACATTTGCTCATTTCCAAACGGGTGTTCGGTTGCTAACCAGAGGATACTTAGTGTAAACCGAAAGTTTTCAGCTATTTGAACCGCATGCAAAATAATCGTTTTTGGCCAATCCCTGGCGAATGGCGATCAGAAACTTTCTCCACATGCGCTTACTTTTGCATCCAGAATCACATTAATACTTTAACAGCATACGAAAATTTTATCTAAAGATGATGATTAAAAAGTTAGCAATTTTTGTGAAACTTTGCAGTTTTCTTAATTTTTGCAAAACTTCTGAAATTTGGATTTATATGGTGTACATTGATTAAAAAGTTAGAAATTTTTGTGAAACTTTGCAGTTTTCTTAATTTTTGCAAAACTTCTGAAATTTGTAAGTGATCAGCTATACTTTCATAAAAATAATAAACATTAAATAAACTAAAGAAAAATAGCCAAAACTTGCTAAAATGTCGCGTCCAGTGTTGTCAACCAGGTGAAAATTCCCCGATTTTGGTGGAATTAGAACTTTTCGGGGGAATCGGGGAGTGACTTTAAATTTTGGGAAATTCAATATACAAACGATTTTGATTAGAACACTCCCATTGAGGAATATTGTGGATATTAAAAAAATTGCAACTATGCATAGCGACATTTCTCAATTTTTCCACGTTTTCTTTGACACTCTTTTCTCGTTTCGATTTCGCCACCAAGCCATTGTATTAGCTTTTTATATAATAAACATGTTTAAAAGTTCATTACATACTTATATCACAATAAATGATATTTGTTGTGTTTTTTTTTTTAATAAAAAATTAGCTTGAATTGCCTTAAATATGTAGCAAGATTCATTTTGGGGAAATTTCAATTTTTTCAGAAATTTCAGGGAATTAGCCCCAGAGGAGTTGGCATCCCTGGTCGCGTCCCAGTTTTTATCCCTCTTTCCACTGTATACACCCCGTGTCAAAATTAAAAGCTCACCGCATTTTGACAAATATAAACAAATTATAATTTTTAATTAAACGATTTTATTGAGCCTGAGGCCGTTTTTAATGAAAAATTGAGTGGAAAACCACAATAATTTACACATACGTACATACGTAGAAGTCACCATATCTCCTCATCAGACTTCTTCACCGCGGTCACTGGGATATGAACCATCGACCCCGAATTACAAAGCCAGTGGTGTACCCACTGATCTAAGTTCGCCACGTAAACTGTTGTTGCTTTTTCCACTTTTTCATATGTCAACCCAACTACAATCAAGCGTAGCTATTCCGCTGCTACTTACACTTAAATCATGTGGTTGTTCTTTGTTGTTGGTTTTGTTAATATGGCCTTATAACAATTATATTCAACACTGGCTTTGTAATCCGAGGTCGCTGCTTCATATCCCAGTGACCAATTTTTCATTAAAAACGGCCTCAAGCTCAATAAAATAATTAAATATAATTGTAACAAAGACATAAATAACAAAAACGAATAACTTATTTTTTTCATTGCTTTTTTTTTTTATATGTACTATGTAGTCTTTAACAAAGCCCTATTTCAGAATTTTATTGAAAAACACCCATGTCAGAATTTGGTTGAAGAACGCTCTATCTCAGCTGAAAATACATTGAAAGTGTGCTGAGATTGGGCGTTTGTGAACCGATTTCTGAGATAGGAAATTCTTCAATCAAATTCCGAAGTAGGGTGTTTTTGAAAAGTTTTCTGAGATAGGGCGTATTCGAATTGGCTGTCGAGGTAGGTCGATCTTCCACTCAGCCATTGATATGCAGTTTTGCAGCAAATTCTATTTTAGTATAATAAAGTGAAAGTTAGAATTGTAAGGACTTACCGGTGATTTTTGGCAATTTTGTTAAATGTCTTGCTGATTTTCTTCCATAAAATACACGGGGATATGCTAGCAAAAATAAAAGCTAAATTGCGGCGTCTGGCACCAATTTTTGTGTTGCGCTATGCGTCAATTATTATTTTCCAGATTTGGCCATATATAGGAATACAATATGAAAACAAAGCTTAAGGATTTCATAAAAATATTTGGGGTATTCACAACGGTGTCGCAAGTATCGTATTGTTGTATGTCGTAAACTTTAACCGCCCTAATAAATATATTAAGAGAGTTCGAAAAGTACCATCAAAGTCATATTATGAATTTTCGCAGCGTTAAAAAATAGTTGGTTGTGGTTTCAAGTTCTCTAAGCATTTATCTAAGCTTTTAAAATTTACGACATACAACAATACGACACTGACGACGCCGTTGTGAATCCCATAATTGTAAAATATTTATTTCCTTACATTGGTTTCATACAAATTTTACCTTCTTTGAATTCTACTTCAAATATAATCTATGCATCTACTACATACATATTTACAAATCTTACCCAGCAATACCTGCTCAACATCAATAGCTCCCAGACTTGCCCGTACTGCAGTCTCAATACACAAATTACAGTCCAACATATGCTACTACAATGCCAGTCCCTACATACTTACCCGAATACATTAAAATCATTGTCTTATCCGTCATTTTAAAAATTACTTAATTTGGTAAAAATGGCAAATATATATTTTTTAATTTAGCTGGTAGTATAATTTATAAGCCATAATTCAGAACTTAGCTTAAAGCCACGGCAGCCATAGCTCTTAAGTTTCTTAGCTTGTAATTCAAATTACATTCTATAGTTTAATAATAATAATAATATTTAAGTACCTGTTTTTGCCTTACAAATATTAAAAAAAAAAAAAAGAAATTCAGGCATCATTCACTGATGATTCGCACCACACTAGAATAACTATGCACTTAGTATATTTATTACAGATTTATTATTTGTACACTCAAATTCATCGTTGTGCCGTTAAATATGTAAATTATGAGAGCATTCACGGCTTAGCAAACTTAGGGTCGGTTACTCAATGTCTGGTTAACATTAATCTGCGGTTAAACATCGTTATCGACGTCTTCGACTCCATGCATACAACAGGGAGTCGGTAACGTCGATAACGATGTTTAACCTGTAGTTAGTGTTATCCAGACATTGAGTAACCGGCCCGTAATGTGTTTGTAATAATTATCACAGAACAAACACATAGTCTTGTGACGGGTGTAATACTCTTATATAGGCGCTTAATGCTGCATTTTATTTCGAAGAGTTACCGTAGAAGTGCTTCCAACCCGCCGTCGATCAAAAAATGGTTCTGGGGTACCGTCACGTACTCCGATAGCAGTAACAGCTGCAAATCCGGATCCAGACGCCAACTCATTTAATACGTGACCCACTGTGCTCAGATACTCTTTGATTGGCGCGTCTACTTCGGTTTCAAAGTCTACTTGCATTGGAGCCAATTGATGGTGTAGTCTGCCTCCGTTAACGGACTCACTTAGAGAGTCTTTGAAAATCAGGTATTTGATTATTGACTGAAAATCATAAAACAAATTAATTTATGTTAATTTATATTATGGTATGTTATGTTATGTTACTTTGTTTTGGTTTACCAGCAGCGGAAACTTTGGGAGGTAAATACATGCGCGCCGCATAAAAAAGAAAAAAAAAAGAAAAACTATATAGGGTTTGTCGAATGAATGACCGTCGTAATCACCAGTTCCGAGTCTATTCGATTGCTGGATATGAGGCCTTATGTTGGACAAAAGGGGGATACTTCCCCTCAAAATGGGGGAAATTAGACTATGGTAACAGAAGATATGGAAAAAATTAACCCACGAAAACTTCCGTGCCGCTTTCACTTTTCTCTCAAAGTGTATACCGCTGGTAAGCCAACATAAAGGTTAAAATATAAAAACAAATTAATAAAATTAAAGTAAATCTGTGGAAATTAACAATAAAATATTTTTGTTCGCAAAATATATAGAGACCCTTTTATTTAAAAAAAAAACTTGTGCGACAGTTATATTTACATAGTCTAATCTATTTGAATAATTCGACACCTGAGTGGAAGATCGACCTATCTCGGCAGCCGGTTCGAAAGCGTCCTATCTCCGAAAACTTTTCAAGAACGTCCTATTTCGCAATATGGTTGAAGAACCCCCTATCTTAGAATTTGGTTCAAAAACACCCTATATCAACTGAAAATATGTTGCGATAGAGCGTTAACCAAATTCTGAGATAGTGCGTTCATGAAAAGTTTTCTGAAATGGGGCGTTTTCGGATTGGCTGCCGAAATACGTCGATCTTCTACTACGTCGTCGAAATGTAACAATGTTTTCCTGCCGCTGTAGCTGAGTCGTTAAGGGCGCCTACTACCACTCCGTAAGACCTGGGTTTGATCCCTGTTCAGTCTTCTTCTTCTTTTTTATTAGCGCTGTAACCGCCTAAGCGATTTTGGCCGAGTCATTTCTATTCTGTGCTAACTGACGCCAATTGGAAATGCCAATTGAAGCCAAGTCCTTCTCCACCTGGTCTTTCCAACGCAGAGGAGGCCTTCCTCTTCCTCTGTTACCAGCATCGCGGCCCGCGTTGAATATTTTCAGAGCAGGAGCGTTTCTGTCCACTCTAACGACATGGCCAAGCCAGCGGAGTCGCTGAATTTTAATTCGCTGCACTACGTCCATATCGTTGTAAAGCAAATACAGCTCATCGTTAAATCGTCTGCGATATTCGCCATCACCAACGCGTAAAGCGCTGCCCCATCAGATGCTTTCATTGTCCATGCCTCCGCGCCATACACCAGCATAGGCTTGATGAGTGACTTATAGAGTGTGATCTTTGTACGACGGGAGAGAACTTTACTTATCAATTTCCTACTTAGCCCAAAGTAGAACTGGTTGGCAAGAGTGATTCTCCGTTGGATTTCTTCTTCTTCTTCTTCTTCTTCTTTTTTGGCGCTGTAACCGCCTAAGCGATTTTGGTCGAGTTCAGCAAAGCACGCCAGTCGTTTCTCCTCTGTGCCAACTGACGCCAAGTGAAGCCAAGTCCTTCTCCACCTGATCTTTCCATCACAGTGGGGGCCTCCCTCTTCTTCTGCTACCACCAGCGGGTTCCGAGTTGAATACTTTCAGAGCTGGAGCGTCGGTGTCCATTCGAACGACATGACCAAGCCAGCGGAGCCGCTGTATTTTAGCCGTTGGATTACAAGGCTGACATTATTATTGGTGTTAATGCCGGTTCCCAAATAAACGAAGTCGTCTACTTTTTCAAACTTGTAACTGTCAACAGTGACGTGGGTGCCAAGGCGCGTATGCTCTGACTATTTGTGTGATGACAGGAGATACTTCCTTTTGTCCTCGTTCACCACTAGACCCATTCGCTTTGCTTCTCTGTTCAATCCCGAGAAGGCAGAACAGACGTAGCCCTTGTTTTTACCGATAATATCGATGTCGTCGGCATACGCCAGCCCTGTTCAGTGCAACCTCTAAATTAGAAACAAAAAACCAGTTTTTTCTAACAGTGGTCGGACCTCAGCAAGCAATGGCAAGCCTCCGAATGTATTTCTGCTGATCATAAAAATACAATCGTCACAAATTGCAGGAGAAGCTCGGCCAAAGATTAACATATTGTGTAAGCGCCAATCTATTAAATACACTGTTCGACAGTCGGCTGAGGAATTGGTGAAACCAAGTTTTTCTGAAATTCTAGATTGTATATATAAAAGTATTTTCTCAATTTTCCCAGGCTGGCGTACCGCATTTGGTAAGGATTGGTGAAGCGGCTACTAAGATACAGAGGGCGGGGTCACGCCCCTTTTCAAAAAATTTCATAATAATATTATGTTGCACCAAACTTCTACTTCACATACTATTTAATCTTCAACAATTTGGATTCAATATTCACCGGAATCATAGTTCTTGCAATTTTCGAAAATACCGTTATATGCGAAGGGGACGTGGTTACAGTCCGATTTCGTCCATTTTCAATAGCAACCTACCTTGGATAAAGGGCAACCTCAATTTTGATCGAGTTATCGTGTACATGGACAGACGGACGGACAGACAGACATGGCTTAATCGACAGCTCTTCTTATTCTGATCATTTATGTATATGTTTGTCTATATCTGTAAAGAAGTGCGCTCGGGTATAATAAATGCCAAAGCGCAGGTTAAGGTACACATGTAAAACAACGGCCAATTCCATAGTCAACAGATATTCCGAAGTCAACAGATGTGTGTTCCGAGCATGGCCTTTAAGAAACCTATGCGTTGTCTAATTGCGGCGATCGTAATGATTTGCCCATTACTTATGAAAGTTTTTGGACTCGAAATTGGAGAGCGATCTTCAAAGTAAGTCGAGGTTATTTACAAAAGGGGAAAATTCAAAAGAAATAGCAGACGCGTTTCTTGCTTACAGCTAATCTGAGAAGGGGCTCTGGCCTATATTTAGTACCGGGTCCGGATTTACAGCCCTGTATGTATGTATGCATGTAAGTACCGTTGCAACCGAAGTAGTGATCTTGCTACCGCCAGCCGCACCAACCAGCATTTGTACATTGCCATCGTGATCGAGTATTATTGTCGGACACATGGACGACATGGGTCTCTTTCCAGGCTGTATATAATTAGCGGGCGAAGCAGGTATGCCGAAGCCATTGACGAGTCCTGGAGTCGAGAAGTCATCCATTTCATCGTTTAGGATAATACCAGTTTGCCGAGACCGAACTTTGGCACCAAAACTGTCAAAGAAACAAATATTTTTGCTTTTTACAATGCCAAAAATAAAGTCGCACAATTAAATAATACATTCGTATGTATACGTATAATTATGTTATGTAAATGCAATCGGGAGTACATGGTGTCCTTGAACCAGAATCAACTGAATCGGTTTGGAACGATGGAATTTCCCATTAGACTATTTTTTATTTTGGGAGGGGGGGAGGGGGGCAAGTGCCGATTTCAATAACGGTAACTTTTTCGATTTGCAGGTGGGTTTTCGATTGTATACATATTTATACATATATGTGCAGGCCCGACTATAGGTTGGGGGTGTTTCCCCCGGGGAAATTTAGTTCGAAGATAAAAATTATAAAATTTTGTTAAGTAGATCAATTTTATCATTTAATACTCACATAGCTTTTATAATATGCAATAAATGCGAAATCGCATGTCTAGATACACATGCAAGTGTGCTAAGGTCATTTCCGTGCTAGTCAAAACAACGGCCGATCTGGCCTAATGTGAATCATAGAAAGGTTCCGAAGTCAACACGTGTTGTCTAAATGTTGTGATCGATCGATGATTTTCTCATTGGTTCATGAAACTTTTTGAGCTCGAAATTGTAGAGTGATCATCGAAGAGATTCGCGGTTATTTACAACAGGGGAAAATCAGAAATCAAGAGAAGGTGAGTTTCTTGCATACAGCCCTCCTGAGCTTAAATGAACGCTTTTGACTAAAACAATAAAAACTATTTTACGCATTCACTTGATCTATACAAACTGTATAGCAAAACAAATTCTCCCTTTACACGAAGTTTTTATATAACAAATATAACATTCTCCGCATACTACGAAAGTATTTGGTATTTTTCAAAAGCGCTGAATAAGTATGTAGTGATAACGTTGGAAATTCGTTTAAATACTTAAAAAAAGAACTAAGGTTAGATGGGGGCTCGGCCCATATTTTGTACCGGCTCCGGACGATAATAAAAGTTTATATTATTAAGTCAAAAAAACTTACTAATAAAAGAGCTATAGAGTGATAAGTGTTTATAGTTAATTTTTTTGAAACCAGATAAAAGTTGGCCGTTATAAGTGGACCAAAAGTTGGCTATTGTAGAAGATGACTACGAAATTCCCCACAGGGTATATGTACATGTATATACATATCGAGCCCTAACTGCCAAAATAACGTAAGCGAAATTTTTTCAAAATTTTCGCTTTGATGCAAAAATGCTCTAGCAACATTTCTCATTAAAAAAGAAAATTTAGAAAAAAAATTCGCTGACGTCATTTTGGCGGCTAGGGCTCGATATTTAAAAAATTACTCATATACAGTCTTATCTATACTATACTTCAATGTGAAAATGTCGGCTGAAAATCGAAAAATTACAGAAAAATTACTTCGCTTATTCTAACTCGGGAACAATCCCCCAAAATAAGTCTAATCGGAAATTCCATCGCTCCAGACCGAATCAGTTGAATCTGGGTCAAGGACACCGTGGGTAGACAAAGTTGTGAGTAACACGTACAATCAGTCAATAAAGTTTAGGTACAGCGAATTTTTTACAATGCGGGCAACTATTTTTTAAATATTTTATTTTTCGCTATTTTTTTATAAAAATATGGTTAATTCTACAACAAAAACCCCAAAAAGAAAAGTTCCAAACCTTGTACAAAATTAAAGAAAATTCTGCAAAATTTCATTCAAATATTGCATTATTATTTACGCTCTCTAGAAAAAATTTGAATATGCAGTTTTTTAGCCCATTAAATTTTAGTATAATAAAGTGCAAGTATGAGGAAGCTAGGTTTACCATTGATTTTTGGGAAATTTTTTTGTTGAAGGTGTCGCACATTTTTTCCATATAAAAATATTATCAAACATTATTTTATATGGAGAAAATGAGCGACACCTTCAACAAAAAAAATTCCTAAAAATCAATGGTAAGTCCTAGCCACCAAAACTTGCACTTTGTTATACTAAAATTGAATGGGCTAAAAAACTGCATACTCAACTTCTTTCTAGAGAGCGTAAATAAAAAGTGCAATATTTGAATGAAATTTTGGGGAATTGTCTTTAATTTTGCACAAGGTTTGGAACCCTGATTTTTGGGGTTTTTGTTGTAGAATTGACCATATTTTTATAAAAAATTAGCGAAAAATAAAATATTTAAAAAATAGTTGCCCGTATTGTAAAAAATTCGCTGTACCTAAACTTTATTGACTGACTGTATGTATTACATAATATTGTATTTAGCATCAACACTTTTTGAAAGAG